GGAAAAGCATCTCAAGGTGACAATGGCTCAAACATAATCCTCATGACATGAGGATGCAGGAGGCAATGTTTTGCTCTTTTGCACATGGGGCTGCTATACATTTGAACCAAGTGATAGCATCTAACAACATGAGTTGGTTTGGAGCAGTAACCGCACCTTATTCATATATGTAACTCTGCCCTGTCAATGGCAAGAATGGACGGCTTTTGAAGGAAAGTGCATACTTATGCCTTAAGCTGAGTTTTGTTGTGTGTGCAATATGCATTCTTCCCTAAAGTTGTAGCACAGGGCTTCTAGCTTTGGCAGCGCATTCGTATCACCTGAGGATTTTTTCAAACTCTCGCTCCTCAGAATTGGTCCCAGGCATCAACATTTCTGATCTAAAAGTCTTCTGATGATTAGGAAAGTAGCTTGTTGAGTGCTCAAATTGTTGGGATGAACACTGGTATCCTGGACTCTTTTCGGAGGCAAATTAGTGTACACTGCTCCTACGTTGGGCCACAGAATCAAATTCGGAGCCTCTCCAGTCCACGTTTCAGAACCAATTTCCCGAAAGTGGAGAAGTTGAAGCACAGGGGAGAACACGGTCAGAAACGAAACCCTCACAGGCCGGTAGGGAAGTGACAGTATACGTAGAAAATGCCTCCAGGTTGGTCATAAGCCCAGGCACCCACGGCAGTTCTCGGTCCCCGCGGAGACGACCCGTTTGCGAAAGCGACGCGTTGCCCAGAGGAACGCGGTTCGGCAGCACTCGCTCCCCTTTCAGGAACAGACGCTGGCGCAGGTTCCCACGCGTCATAATCAAGCGCGCCGACCGCCGGGATTTCTGGGAAGTGGAGTCTCTGAACGTCGCGCAGTGATTGGGTTTGCAGCGGGCCGACCCTGTGCGCAGGCGCACTGCTCTCCTGACTTGTAGCGGCGACCCGAGCACACTGCGCTCGAGGTGAGGCCTGCGAGTGTGGGGCCGGAGGCACGGCGTGAGCGGCGAGGCCGAGAGGAGGGCACACACAACTTGGGGAAGGAGAACGTAGTGACGCGGACGGGATCGGTCTGCGGAGTGTGTAACGACGTCCGGCTCCAAGAGGTGGGAACGGAAGCTTCTAGCCCGCGTGTGTGCGCGTGTCCGCGGGGTGTGGGCACTGTGTCGAGCGACTGACCGTGGTCCTCAACCCTCCTGATGCCGCGACCCTTTCATACAGATCCTCCTGTGGTGGTGACCCCGTAGGTGGGCGTATCTGCATGTGGGCGGGCCCGTCTGGAGACGGATGGAGGAGCTGTGTCTTGTTCCTAAGTCCATCGGAAATACGGTCTTAAGCGACCCCTGTGAAAGGGTCGTTTGACCCCCAAAGGGGTCGCCACCCACAGGCTGAGAACCGCTGCTTACAACGTGCCCCTCCCGCCCCCCACTATTTGACAGATC